CCTGTCCCAGTTCCTTGAATTAGTTATTCTTGTTGACTCCATAATGAAACTCTCTACTAATGTGGTAAACAAGGATAAGCGTGATGAGGACAAGATAGAGACAATGACAAACTTCCCTCCTTCGTTGTCTCACACAGTGGCATTGATATTCAAATTATCACTTCTATGAATCCCACCTTTATTTTCTGAGGATGGTAGATCAAGGGTTGACGTGGGACAGTGAGCACATTGGAGTGAAGAAGCTCTGGGTTTAAATTCTACCTAACTCAGCCACACTGAGCCTCAGTATCCTTCTCTATGAAAGTGAGACTAAGAAGTGCCCACATTGAGTAATATTTAGGATGCTTATCTGCAGCCTTAGAATGGACAGTGGTGAGAGCACAGCTTATACTAAAAAAGGAGGATTCTAAAAGTTTTAGTAACACCATTCAAGTGATATTCTGGTCTGCATATGTGTAAGAAAATAGATCTGGTTTTGCAAATCTGATCTTATCCATATCTTTCCTACTACCTTGCTCTTATTACAGGTACTTGAAATGGGAAGGGAAAGAAGAAGGTATAGTCTACACAATCTGACCCTCCTTCTAGTATCAGCCTGGCAGTCTCGCACACATTGCAGAGGCATGGCAGGGCCTGTGAGGGCAAAGAGCAACCTGGCATTTGGTAGGGGTAGTTCAGATGGCACACTGTCAGCCTCTGAACCTTGCAGAACCAGCTCCTTCACCCTGAACCCAGAGAAGAAGAGCTGGATTTCATGAGAGCTGACACCAGAAGATTTTGCTTTGTGCACTGTCCACCTTACAAGCCTCAGCTCAGCAATTTCTGGAATGCACTCTGTTAGATCCTGTTGAACTGCCTGCATTAAGAGGTAATTGCATCATGGGGAAGTCTTCCATTCTCATTTATCTCTGGGGACACCTGTGAAGATTGGTGTGGAGACAACTCTCCAGGTAAGGACTCATGCTCCTCTCCTCCCCCAAAAAAACATAATCATTGTTTTGTGATCCTCTCCACTTACATGGCACAAACCTAAATGTCATATTGTGTTATGTTCAGTAATACCATGTGCCTTAGGATAAGAAATAACTTCAACTTCAGTAATATACATCTAGCACCTGCTCTGTAACAGGCAACTCGTTAGGCACTGAAAAATTTCTTACAGATTTGAATAGATAAATGAATGAAGAGAATTTTGGGCACTTTCTGGAAGTAGGTGAGTGAATGGAATACTTAATATGGGAGACACTGAAAACATGACCATATTTAATCCTCCTGGTTATATTATAAATTCTTTTGTTTTTTTTCAATGGATTTTAGTTGCATCATACATTAATCAAAAAGAAAAATGTACAAATTGACCCTCTTAATTTATTTCATTTTTCCCATCACCATTTATACTCTCTAAGCCAAGCAGGTCAAACTTGCGGTCCGTGGCCCACAACGAATATTTTTGCGGCCCAGCCAATATAATGGTATATAAGTAATGTTTTAATAAAAATTTCATAACTTAATTTTTACAATATCCTGTTATACATAATTATTAATAATGAACTACAATGTTTGCTAATGACTGATTACTATAATCGTGTTGCATTCATTTCCCTTATGCGCCTTATGCGCAGGCGCACCATTTCTCTCCACTAATACTAGCAGCAAATATTCTAGCAGCCGATTGCCACATCATTAGTCTTGTACTGACTTGTTTGGTGTGCGCAACAGGAAATATTTCGCTTTCGGAGAACAAGAAAAATAGATTTATTTGCATTACGCTTATTAATTTGTGCAGTTAGTATCTGGTAAGTTAAAGTTCAAGAAAAAAGATTAATTTTTATTAAAATGTTATATTATTTTATGTTAATGATTACTCATTTATTTCAGCCCTTTGTATTCAGCAGGTCTCTATCAAAATAAACCTACGTTTATATGAAAATTGAATCTTTTGTTTTTTTTGTGGCCCACATAAACTTCAACCTTGTTTATTTGGCCCGTGTTAGCCTTTGAGTTTGACAGGCTTGCTCTAAGCCCTCTTTCACCTCCACCCACCCCATCCACTGCTGCAATCACGACACTGTTGTCCATGTCCATGAATTTTCTCTCTCTCGTTTTTTTTTGAGGGGGAGTTCAATCCCTCCAACACTCCCAACACTCTCCCCCATACCAGAGCTGTCAGCCTGCTCTCTATCTATGAGCGAGCCTCCTTGGAATCCCTGTCTCCTCTTGATTAGTTCAACCTGCTTGTGCACAGGATATGTTGAGGAGAATACAGAAAAGTTAATGTGCCAGTGTGTGTTTCTCGGCATCTAGAAGGGTTCAGGAATCTGGAGAAGGGGCTGCTGTAAATTATTAAAGAGTCTAGAGACGAAACATAATTTTGGAAGGCATTTTGGGGAGTCAGAGAAGACTTAGCTAAAGAAACCAAGTCCTCTGTCTCTCTGGATCCCTTGCTTTTTATTAATACAAATTGTCCTAAGGCAAAGTAGATATACAGATCAAAGGCAAGGTTTAGTGCACAGAATCCATTGTCAGATCGGGGGAACTGCCTACCTATGGCTGTTCAGGTGTTTGGCCACTAGGAGGCAATAAAATGTAGATTAAAATGCCCTCAGCAGTCAGGCAGCAAGCAATCATCTATGCAGATCTTTAGGTATGGGGAAATGCCCTTAGCCATTTCCAGCAGGCAATCCTTAAGGTTGCATCAACCTTTTTTTTTTTTTAAATATATTTTTATTGATTTCAGAGAGGAAGGGAGAGGGAGAGAGATATAGAAACATCAATGATGAGAGAGAATCATTGTTCGGCTGCCTCCTGCCCACCCCCTACTGGGGATCGAGCCTGCAACCCAGGCATGTGCCCCTGACCAGAATCGAACCTGGGACCCTTCAGTCCTCAGGCCAATGCTCTATCCACTGAGCCAAACTGGCTAGGGCTCCATCAACCTTTTGATGAAACTTCTTGCATTTATGACATGCTGGAATTAGTTTCCGGCATTAATGGAAGTTTAAAAGTCAATAAAGTGTTGGCACAACCTGATGACAGAGCCACATCCTTGAACATGGGACCCAGGGAAAGGTTCTCCACCTCACACTCTGCTGCCTGAAGATTCCACCGCGTGCTTCACGGGTTCTATTAAGAAATCAGCTCAACTGTTGGGGGAGGAAACAGATCAAAGTACACTCTTCCAGATCACTATACTCAGAGGACATATTTCATCTACTGGAATAATCTGCTGCTTCTTGTCTTTCCCCGAGGATCTCTGCAGAGACTGAATGAGAGAACAGCTTTGCAGGTGAGAACAAGGGAGAATCATTGCTCTGGGACCCCTCATTTCCTTTTGCTTCCCCTCTGTAAGGGAATGATTCAGAATGCTACTGCTGGGTGTGCATGAACATTTCAGAATTCATTAGTAATCAGAATTTTGCAGGGAAAAATAAAGCACCTCCGTTTGAGGAACCTGCATCAGGAACCTACGGTGTATAGGGCAGTACCCTAGTTCTGCAAAAAATTCTTGACTCACTAAAGTCAGGCTTTTGCTCTGAATTGGTAAATAAATGTGGGGAAAAAAATGAGAGTTTTCCATTGGTAGATAAGTAACAGAAAATGTAACAGCCCCTGGGAAGGAATATGCTGGTTCAGGTGACATTTATATAGCACAGTTTGTACATGTATCATGCAAATGTTATTTTTTTAAATCCTGGGTAACATTCTAAAGGTAGTCAGGTTTTTTTCCCCCTTGGATAAATAATGACTAGGAAAATTACGTTCCCTGCTTAGAGCTTCAAAAGGACAATGTAGATTCTGGTACAAGGACTATAATTCAGATGAGATCAATTATTAACTGAAAGGCATAAAAATAAATGTAATTTTAATAATCTCAGATGAACTGTCATTTTCCCACCCTTTTTATGTTAATTTAAAGTTCTCCCATATGGCACCATATATATCATAAACTTCATGTGAATGGGTCTTAGAGTAGGAAAATAATGATAAGTCATACCTTATTTACCATGTGCCAGATTCCATGAATTCTCCCCCATTTACACCTCATCACAAATTCTTGTGTAGAAAGTCACTCAATAGACTTTTTGGATGACAGTGTGGTTAAATGTTGCTTCTACTAATGATAATAATCAACAGGATACTAATTATAATCATTAATTGAGTGCTTACCATGTCCCAGACACTGTTCTAAGAACCTTACATGTACTGATTTATTTAACTGTTCAGTTACTCTGTGGTGCAGGTACTACAGTCATTGTCATTTATAGAGAAGAAAACCAAGGCACAGAGGAATTAAGTAACTTGCCCTGTGGCATGTAGCTTCTAATTGGCAAAGTCAGGCTGGCTTGTCATAAATGGAAACTTAATCTCGAAGGATGGTCATTCATGCTTAGAGAATATATTTCTTAATCTCTGTGGATCATTAATTACTGGAATGCTGGATGATGTAAAAATCAAAATAATATTTTCAGAAATATTTTTTTATTATTGTCTAAAGCAGGGGTCCTCAAACTTTTTAAACAGGGGGCCAGTTCACTGTCCCTCAGACCATTGGAGGACTGGACTATAGTTTAAAAAAAACTATGAACAAATTCCTATGCACACTGCACATATCTTATTTTGAAGTAAAAAAACAAAACGGGAACAAATACAATATTTGTATTTTCATGTGGCCCGCGGGCCGTAGTTTGAGGACCCCTGGTCTAAAGTTTTACATGTCTTCTCTTTCCCCAATTGACCCCTCCCCCCTCCCCAGCCATTCCCATCCCTGGAAAAAAAACTTCAGAAAGAGGTACCTATGCTTTTTGCCAGACTTATCCTTCCTTAGAGTTGGTAAGGAGTTGAGTGAATGGGGCACCAATGCAATTACTGGGATAAAGGCCAGATCATTAGCTAGAACTGCCTACTGTGTCTTCTTTGTGCCTTTGTACTAGTATGTATTCCAGCACTTCTCATTCCTTGATGTTTCTTGATCCCCTCTTTAGGATAAGGTACCTGCCAAGATGTTCCAATTACAAGACCCACGAATGCTGCAGATGCTAGAGAAATCCTTGAGGAAATTCCTCCCTGAGTCCCTAAAGGTGAGAGTGGAATCTTCTTAGGGAAAAAAGGACAAGCATCTATCTGTGGAAAAGGTGGGAAAGAGAATAAGCATTCACTGAGCCCCTGTTCTGTGCCAGGCACTCATCTTGCATCTCACATAGTTCACGTCATCTTGCTGCAAGACAGGTATATTATATCCATGTAACCAAAGAGAATCTGGAGGCTCAGTTATATGACTTGACCAAGATCACACAAGTAGTGAGTGGCAACACTATGATTTGAACGTACTATGATCTTTGCTATGTGATGACCCAAAACCATTCCCTTCGGCCCTTCTAAGAACTATGTCAGATAGCAATGCAAGTGTTTCCAGAATTGCAAAGTTGGCTGTAACTAACTCATTAGGGTTCTAATCATTCTTTCTAAAAATCAAATGAGTAGTGAAACATTAACCATTATGATTCTTCTTTGCAATTAATAACAGATCAAGTTCTATTTTGTCAAACAAAGATGAATTAGGTTTAGTTTGGGGTGACACAGACATTTTAGTTTTAGAAATGGATCGATGACCTTGTACCGTAGAGAGCTTTGTGTTTTTTGGCAATAGCATATGTTACAAAAGGACTAGAATATTACCAAGGATAAAAAATGCCATTGCATTATAATGAAGGTACGTATTTACTAAAAAAAAACACAAAAAAATGCTAAAATGTATATACCTAACAACAGAGGCTCAAAGTACCTGAAGTAAAAACTGATGGAACTGAAAGAAAAAATAGGTAAACCTGCAGATATACTTTTGTTTCTTTTTTTAATTGAAGTTCTTTATTGTTAGTATTACATGAGTCTTCTTTTCCCCCACTGACCTCTCCCTGGCCACTCCCACCACCACCCCCACAGCACATGCCCTCATCCCCCTACTGTCTGTGTCCATTAGTTATGCTCATAACCCACAGATATAATTTAAGACTCCAACGCTTCTCCCTCAATAATGTTTAGAATAAATATAAAACCTGTAAGGATAGAGAAGAGCTGAACAATACTATGAGCCAACTTAAACTGACTTTTATGGAATACTTTCCTCAACAACAGTAGAATAATATTACTTTTTAAAGCACATTGAACATTTACAAAAATAGACCATATTTTTAAGAATTTTATTTTATTTTTTTAAATATATTTTATTGATTTTTTACAGAGAGGAAAGGAGAGAGATAGAGAGTTAGAAACATCGATGAGAGAGAAACATCGATCAGCTGCCTCCTGCACATCTCCCACTGGGGATGTGCCCGCAACCCAGGTACATGCCCTTGACCGGAATCGAACCTGGGACCTTTCGGTCCGCAGGCCGATGCTCTATCCACTGAGCCAAACATAAGTGGAAATATATAGCATTTAATGTTTGTACTATAAGAGAATAATGGTCTCAAATCAATCTTTCAAGTTCTCACCTTAAAAACTAGCAAAAGGAGAGTAAATTAACACCAAAGCAAATAGAATTAAAGAAATTATAAAAGATAAGAGTGAAATCAATGAATGTGGGGAGAGAAGAGCAATTAAGAAAATCAATGACTTCAAAATTTTGTTCTTTGAGAAGATTAATAAACAAACTGACCAAGAAATTAAGAAAGAAGACAATTTACCCACATAAAGAATGAAATAGGGGACACCACTACAAACCCAATAGACATTATAAGGATATATAAGGACATACTATTATCAGAACTAGGCCCATAATTTTTACAATTTATGGCCTGTGAAAAGCACAAATTACCTATCACTGACTTTTCCTGATTCTCTGACACTTAATATGGGAATCTTTTGTAGACTAAGCCACAGACACTGAGTATAAATCTAAATCACTGATTGTTCTGACTAACATAGGATAGGGTAACTGTGGAGAAGGCAGGATCTAGAGTCAGACTGTTGTGATTCCATAATTTACTGTTTCAGGGAAACATTGCAGAAGTTAAACATCTATGATTCTCAGTGTTCTTAGATGTAAAATGAGTAAAACCAGAAAGTCTATACTTTTTGATAGCTGTTTCTCAATCTTTACCAGAGTTACCAAATAAAACATGATAAAATTAATATCCAACTCTTCTTGAAGAGTTACTATCAGGAGTTACAGCAAGTATTTTACATAAACTCAAAGGTCTTACTTGAATCATACTGCCTCTCAATTAATTCCCAGGCTTGAACCAGATTACAAACCTAGACCCCTTGAATGAAGGGAACAGTGGGTGCCCTTGAAAAAGAAACCACTACACTGTCAAAAATATGACCATTGTGTGCCACATCCAACATGGTAAGAATTCAAGATCTGGAGAAGGGGCCATTCACAAATGAAAACACTAGACAAGAAATATGAATTTAGAAGGCATGGGGGCCAGGCGGAAACTTCCCTCTAGAGGAGAAGCTCCCCAAAGCCCTGGACTTGTTAGCTTTTATTCAATTTTAGATACACATCTTGCCCTCAGTTAGGCATGGCAATTTGGTAGCAAACAGACTATCTCAAAGGTCAGTAAATATTAGTAAAGATTTACTTTGAGACTATTGGTCAGGAAATTGCTTCGAGCCACCACTCTCTTGGCAGAACAATCAGTGCATAGGTTTAGGCCTTGCTAAAGCTCAAGGTTTATCAGCCTTCCAAGTTCCTTGTTGCACTTTCATGATAGTGTTTGACAATGGATGGTTTCTGCAATTGTGCCCTGGCTGGATGGCTCAGTTGCCTGGAGCATTGTCTCATACACCAAAAGGTTGCAGGATCAATTCCCTATCAGGGCACACACACAGGTTGCAAGTTCAATCCCCAGTCCGGGTGTGTACAGGAGGCAACTGATCCCTGTTACTTCTCACATCCATGTTTCTCTCTCCCTTCCTCTCTCTATAAAATCAACAAAAACATATCCTCTGGTATGGACTTAAAAAAAGGAAAGAAAATATGATAATTGTATAGTGTGTACTAGAGGCCCAGTGCACAAAATTCATGCATGGGGGGTAGTCCTCTTAGCCCAGCCTGCACCCTCTCTAATCCGGGACCCATTGGGGGATGTCCGACTGCCGGTTTATGCCTGATCCTGGTGATCGGGCCTAAACCGGCAGTTGGACATCCCTCTCACAATCCAGAACTGCTGGCTCCTAATTGCTCACCTGCCTGCCTGCCTGATTGCCCCTAACTGGCCCCCCTGCCAGCCTGATCACCCCTAACCGCCCCTGCCTGCTGACCTGATCACCCCTAACTGCCCCCCTGCCAACCTGGAGGCCCCCAACTGCCCCCCATGCCGGGCTTGGTCGCCCCCAACAGTTATCCCCCACCAGCCCTGGTCACCCCTAACTGTCCTCCTCTGTGGGCCTGGTCACCCCAACTGCCCCCCCCCCACTGGCTTGGTCTCCCCTGATGGCTTTCCCTGCCGGCCTGGTTGCCCCCAACTGCCTCCCCCCACCCCCCGCTGGCTTGGTCACCCCCCCACTGCCACCCTCTGCAAGCCTGGTCGCCCCTCACTGCCCCTTCTGTTGGCCTGGTTACCCCACACAGCCTACTGCTCAGTCATTTGGTCATCACTCACTAACCCCTCGGCCGGCCTGGTCGCCCCACGCAGCCTGCTGTTCAGTAGTTTGGTCGTTCCTCATTAACCCCCTTGCCGTCCTGGTTGCCCTACTCATCCTGCTGCTCAGTCATTTGGTCATCACTCACTAACACCCCAGCTGGCCTGGTCACCCCATGTAGCCTGCTACTCAGTCATTTGGTTGTCCCTCACTAATCCCCCTGCTTGCCTTGTCGCCCCACTCAGCCTGTTTGGTCGTTCGTTTGGTTGTTTCAGATGTGAGGGCCCCTGGCTCTTTATATATATACTAGAGGCCTGGTGCATGAAATTTGTGCAGCGGAGGGTCCCTCAGCCCAACCTGCAGGAGATGTCTGACTGCCTCTTGCAATCAGGGACCGCTGGCTCCTAACCACTCGCCTGCCTGCCTGCCTGATTGCCTCAAACCCCTCTGCCTGCCTGCCTGATTGCCCCTAACCCCTCTGCCTGCCTGCTTGATCGCCTCTAACTGCCCCTGCCTCACCCTGCACCTGAGACCCAGGATTCCCTCCTCTGGCTGATCGCAGGCACCTGGGACCTGGGCTTCCCTCCCTCTGGCCGGCCATAGGCACCCAGGACCCAGGCCGGCTTCACTTGGGCCAGCTGCAGGTGCCTGAGACTGTGGGGCGGACAGCTTGTCCTTCTCCCAGGCCGCAGCCTGGCTGGTCCCCATTCCTCTCTCCCCAGTGTTGAGTGTCTGAGTAGTTATGGTGTGATGGCATGAGGGCGTGATGATATGAGGGCATGATGACCATTTGCATATTAGCTCTTTATTATATAGGATAGATGTATGTGTGTGGAAGAAGATAGATGTTAAACAAATATAAATTAGGTAATTTCATTATTTAAAAATTGGGTGTAACTATGCAAATAAGTGGAATAAAATGAAAAAATATGTCACAAAATTCTACAGTGTGATAGTGAATGATTTTTAATTTATTTTATATGTCTAGATATTTGACTACATAATATCCTCAGGGCTCAAAAATCTATTTCTATTGGAGTAATAAAGTAGGACCTGAAGACTGTTTGAAGTAAGTGCCCTACCAGTTACTTATCCTGATTTCATAGAAATAATCTTTATCCTGATAAAACGGCACTGGTCATCCCATGCTAATAAGCTGACCTTCTCACTTTCTCATGATGCTACAGGTTTATGGGACTGTCTTCCACATGAACCAAGGAAACATGTTCAAGCTAAAGGCCCTGGTGGACAAGTGGCCTGATTTTAATACAGTGGTTGTCCGCCCTCAGGAACAGGTAAGGTGCCACATGTGAAATGCATGCACTTCTATTTGCTATACTAGCATGTGTCTACAATGCACATGGCAATGTAGACCCAGGGAACAGAGAAATAAATCACAATGCTGTTGAAAAGGTCCTTGTCCTCAAGGAGTTTACAACCTGAAGGAAAATATAGGTAAGCAAATAAATGACAATATGGTGTGAAAATGTATGAAAACACTCATGAACATACAAGTAACAGAAGCAGCACTGGCTAAAAAGTGATTCAAGCCTAGATGTCAGGGTATGGAGGGAGACGAAGGGAATCTTCCTGGTAACCATTTCACCCAAACTGGATTTTGAAGATAAATAGGTTTTTGACAGATTGACAAGAACAGAAGGTACATTCTAAGCAGAGAAAATAACACTGAAAAATAGGTTAGTTAAATATGAAGAATGTTAGGGAAATATAAAGAACAAATTGCAATGCCTGCATTTGGCGATACATTTTCAGTACCAGTTTTTAAACAATATCTCAAACTCATATATGACAATCCTACAGCTAACATCATACTAAACAGGAAAATTGAAAGCATTTCCTTTAAGATCAGAAATAAGACAGAAATGTCCACTTTCACCACTCTTACTCAACACGGTACTAGAAGTCCTGGCTACAGCAATCAGGCACAAAAAAATAAATAAATAAATAAAAATAAAGGAGAAGAAGAAGTATATGGATCCAAATTGGAAAGGAAGAAGTAGAATTGTCATTATTTGCAGATGACATTATACTTTATATAGAAAACCCTAAATATTTTTTAAATTTAAATTCTTTATTGTTTAAAATATTACATAAGTCTCCTTTTGCCCCACTGACCTCTCCCTGCCCAACCCCACCACCCAGTAATGCCCTCATGCCCCCCACCCCCATCTGTGTCCATTGGTTATGCTCATACAAGTCCTTTGGTCTATCTCTTACCCCCTCACACCCCCCCATCTTCCCTCATAGGTTGGATAGTCTGTTCAATGCTTCTATGACTCTGGTTCTATTTTTGTTCATCAGTTTATGTTGTTCATTATATTCCACAAATGAGTGAGATCATGTGATATTTATCTTTCTCTGCCTGGCTTATTTCAATTAGCATAATGCTCTCCAGTTCCATCCATGCTGTTGCAAATGGTAAGAATTCCTTCTTTTTTATAGCAGCGTAGTATTTACAGGGAACTCATACAACTTAACAAAAGGAAGATAAACAATCCCATCAAAAAATGGGCCACAGACCTAAGTAGACACTTTTCAAAAGAAGACATACAGAAGGCTAAGAGACATATGAAAACATGCTCAAAGTCACTAATCATCTGACAGATGCAAATCAAAACAACAATGAGGTACCATCTGACACCTGTCAGAATGGCTATCATCAACAAATCAACAAATGACTAGTGCTGGCAAGGATGCGGAGAAAAAAGAATGCTCTTGCACTGCTGGTGGAAATGCAGACTGGTGCAGCCACTGTGGAAAACAGTATGTCATTTCCTCAAAAAATTAAAAACGGAACTGCCATTTGACCCAGTGATCCCACTTCTAGGAATATATCCCAAGAAATCAGTAACACCAATCATAAAGGATATATGCATCCCTATGTTCATAGCAGCACAATTTACCATAGCTAAGATTTGGAAACATCCTAAGTGCTCATCAGCAGAAGAGTGGATAAGAAAATGGTGGTACATCTTCACAATGGAATACTATGCTGCTGTAAAAAGAAAACCCTAAACATTTTACACACACACACACACACACACACACACACACACACACACACACACATACAACTACTAGAACTCGCTCCCTTCTTCTCTCTCTTGCAAATTAATAAAAACATATCCTCATATAAGGATTAAAAATAAATATACATAAAATAAAAATAAATTCAACATGGTCCTGGCATATAAACAAATACATCAATCAAAGGAACAGAATAGAGAGCCCAGAAATAAAACTCAACACATACACAAAAAGACCAATCTGATTTTTAAAAAAAGGGGGAGGGGGCAGCAGACCTGAATAGACACTTCTCCAAAGATGACATACAGATGGCCAATAGACATATAAAAAATGTGCAATGTCACTAACCATTAGAGAAATGCAAATTAAAACCATAATGACATATCACCTCACACCTGTCAGAATGTCTCTTATCAATAAATCAGCAAACAACAACTGTTGGCAAGTATGTGGAGCAAAGGGAATCATTTGGTGGGAATGCAAATTGGTGCAGCCATTATGGGAAATTATATGAAGTTTCCTCAAAAAATTACAAAAATGGAACTACCTTATTACCCGGAGATTCCATTTCTGGGCATATATCTGAAAAAATCCAAATTGCTAATTTCAAACAATACATATGCACTCCTGTTTATTGCAGTGTTATTTGCAATAGCCAAGATATGGAATCAACCCAAGTGCCTATCAATAGATGAGTGGATATGAAAGTGGTGGTACATATATACAATGGAATATTATTCAGCCATAAAAAATAATGAAATATTACCATTTGTGACAGCATGGATGGACCTAGAGAGTATTATACTAAGTGAAATAAGTCATAAGTCATTCAGAAGAAGACAAATACCATATGATTTCACTTATATGTGGAAATGAAAGAGCCAAATAGGTGAGCAAACAGTGTATAAACAGACTAATAGATACAGAGAACAGACTGATGGTTGCCAGAGGGGAGGGATGTGTGAGAACTTGGTGAAAAAGGTGAATGTATCGAGAAGTACAGATTAGTAGTCACAAAATAGTCATGTGGATATAAGTACAGAATAGGGAATAGAGTCAATAATATTGTAATAACTACGTTGCTGCTTGGTGGGTACTGAAAATATCAGGGGACCACTTTGTAAAGTATATGATTACCTAAGCACTATGCTGTACATCTGAAACTAATACAAAATAATATTGAATGTAAACTGCCATCCTATATAATAAAGAGCTAATATGCTAATTAGACCAGATGGTGGAACGACCCTCCGGAACTACCAGTGGGCAGGGGGCAGGGCTGCGGGGGCAGGGCTGCAGGGCCAGGAGGCAGCAGCCAGGGCTTGCGAGGGCTGAGGCAGCTGGGGTTGTGAAGGCCTACCCTTGCACGTATTTCATGCATTGGGCCTCTAGTTAATAAATAAATTTAAGAAGAGAAAAAATAAAATTACCCAATCTAAGTACTTCATACATTTCATATACAAATATGTTATAAAGCATATCAGAAAATATAAAGCAAAAACTTATGCATGCAAGAATATATAACTATATAATATTTTAATATAAAATATTTACAAATAAAATGTAAATGTATAGTGCTTTTCAGAAAATACCAAACTAGACAGCATACAAAATGAAGATATTTAGCTTAGTTGAAATTTAAATATGAAAAAATGTTTATTTTTTAAATTGTTCTTAAAAGCATAGATTGTCCTTGTATTAATGCAGTGCATTTCTGTATAACACTTTTTGGCCATTCTACCTTTGTTGAGTTGTTGTTCTCTAACTCCTTCCTTCATTTTCCAATAATTCCATTTCTTATATATTAATTTTGATAATATACTTTTGAATAAATTTTGCATATCAATTTTGTTGGAAATGCAAATTATTTTTTAAATAATAGTGCATTGTGGTTTGCATTTCAAAGACATTGAGTCTCTATAATTTGTATAGCATTATCATACGTATGTGAGAATGCTAATTTGTTTAGCATTGTTTCCCTCATCTGTGTCAATTTTAATGTTGTCATGTTCATAATCCATTTGTTCTGAGACTCTTTAAAATGGAGTAAGATTTATTCTTTCAATGGAAACTTGCCTTTGATAAGAGTACTTTATTTTCCCCGAGGATTCCAGAATTACAGAAGAATTCTTTCTAAAGCAGTACATGTTTGGTTGATTCAAACTTGTAATGCAAGATATAAATATCCAGTTCAGCAAGTTTTTCTTCATCAGAAATTGAATAATTGAGTAAATACGTAACATGGTTTTATGATGTAAGCGATACACAGATATTGATAGCATGTTAAGAAAAATATCAATATTGAAGTTTGTAAAGTAGTAAAGTAGTATAATGAAAGTCCTAAACTCAGGTATTCCAGTCCCTTGTTATAAACAATTTGATTTATCTCACATTACTCAATGAAACAGGAGATGACAGATGACTTTGATCATTATACCAATACCTACCAAATCTATTCCAAGGATCCCAAGAACTGTCAAGAATTCCTTGGCACATCAGACGTCATCAATTGGAAACAACATTTACAGATCCAAAGTAAGTTAGAAATCTGGGATGTGTGTTAGCTGCTGGGACAGCTAATGTCTATACCTGGTGGGTCACTTTTCATCCCAAGAATATTCATCTATTACATGTATTCCTTCTACCAAACCCTAGACACTCAACTTGATGTTCATTTCTTGTATCAGCTGCCACCACCTTTTTCTTCAGGGTGGTAGAATTCAAACATTACAAATTATGGGGTTCATATAGGGAACTGTGAGTAAGTAAATTTCTTGTTAGCTGAGGATATATTTTTGCAGTCATATTCTGGATCCCACAGGGTGATTAGGTATAAGAGCAGAGCTACCCCTGTGGCCTCCATCCCCAGAATAAGAATGATAGCATCTTGTGCCATAAAGCACATCCCAGGTGACAAGGACAACTGTCATGCTTATGATCATACCCCCCAGAGTCAGGTTCCCTAGGGTGGCATCCTTGCTCTGCAGGTTCGTTTCTTTGTGATCTTGAGCAAGTGATGTAACTAGTCCATTATTCAGATTTTTTGGATATAAAAAGAAATGAGGATACTAAAAGTATGTATAACATAGGGTCAATGTAAGGATCAAATGTGGTACTAGACCAATACCTGGGCATGTTGTATGTGCCCATGCAAGCTTGGCTACTATTCTTAACTATCACTTCTCCTTTGATTTCACAGTCATAGAATCAGGGTTTCTAGTATTACCTCTGTTTTGCATTAGAGAAAACATGCTCAGGTAGTAACATGGCCAAGATCACATGGTCATTGGCAACACCAGAAGCAACATTGCCTGAATTTAAGTCCTGCAAACATCCATTGGGAAACTTCTTGTTGTATTTCACTTGTCTCCTTACTTTACCCCTCTCTAGGTTCACAGTCCAGCCTGGATGAGAAAATACACAACCTTGCAGCCATAAAACAGGTCAAAGTCAAGCAATCACAATGCATCCTCTATATGATGCCCAAGACAGCCAGAAGACTGCTCCCTTCCCTGACAGAGGCAAATAACCTTACTCTTAAAATTGGCAAACCCAAATTCATGTGAGTTTGAAAAAAGATGCTCTCACTACTCACATCTTTCACTACTTTCCTTCCTACATTCACTCTTGCCTCCCTACAATTCATTTCCAGAATGATTCTTTTAGCATGTAACATGGATCATGTCCATTCACCCATTTTAAGCCATTGATGTTTCTCAGCTCACCTTGAATAAAGGCTAAAGCCCTTTATGGACCTTCAAAGGCCTGTGAGATCTGGAATTCATCACCTCTTGGACATCATCTTGTCTGTCTTGCTTCCTATCACCAACGGCTCTGATCTTCTTTCTGCAACTTGATCTCATACACCCACACATGCCTTTGAACCATGGCATTTGCTCTTTGTCTACCTAAATGCCCTTCCCTCTGATCTTCATATATTTGTCTCTTTCGTGACTTTCATACTCTCAAATGCTATTTCCTTAGAGAGTTCTCAGAGAACTATGTCTAAAACCACCCTCTCACACAATTCTTCATCACATAACCCAATTTTTATTTTTATTACACTTATTATGATCTGAAATTAGCTTATTTGTGTATTTACCTACCTGTTGTTTGATCCTATCCTATGTTTTTTCAAAGTGTACAAGAGCAGGCACCCTCTTTATGTTATTCATAGATAGATACTCAACAGCCAGAACAGAATACAGACTGGACTTGAATCTTGATAAATACTCATGGAATAAATTTGCAAACATTTTTTTAATAATGAGAATTTAAACAAATAACGTGTTCCTCACCACCACCATTGATTTCCAGTCTAACACTGAATATAACTGAGCAGTGATGGTGGAAATGAGATCTGGAGATACCCAACCCCTTGGCCCTGTGTTTATTAATATGCATGGAAAAGTTATATTCACATTGCATTGCACATTATGCCTGAAAGGTACCTCCAAATATATCAACTCATTTGATTTTTTTTTTTTGTCCATCCCATGAGATAGACAAGGTAGTGATATTATCCCCATTTCCTGCCAAAAAACAGGCTCGGATGAACAAATGGCTTGTTCAGGTCTTGTGAAAGGTCCAGGCATAACTGGGGCTGAGTGTCCATCTTCTAATTCTACTTTGTGGGTCCTTTCCAAGACACCTGCTGATGCCTCTTATCCCATAGCAGAAGCCTTCAGACTTCAGTGTTCTGTGCCTCAGGGCCTGCCTGCACTGCTCCTCTCTGGACTTGGGTTTCCCACGGTGTCCAAGGGCCCTCTGCCTACCAACATGCTAAGCGTCCATGGGGACTTGTATATTTTCTGTTTACCTGTTATTCTTATCTGTAAAGTGGGGGTGATAGCAATTCTCCCATCTCAAGTGGAAAGTCAGAGCACTGTTGAAAAGAACAAGACTTAAGTTTTATGTAATTCTTATTTGTGTGGCACAAGTCCTGTACTTATGCAATAGCTCATACAGTATTCATAATTG